GACATTGAAATAACAACACTAAGAAAGTGACTAAGAAGAAAAAAGAAAGTAAGAATTCTGGTGTTTTGAAGTCAATTTTGAAATAAGAGATCCTTCACTATATAAACCAAATCTGTCGAGTGGTATTCAAGTTAACGCCAAATATGTCAGATTTTGGAGAAAATATTAAATTATCCCTTGTATCCATGACATTATGCTCATAAAATATGCAGTCATCTTGACTTTCATAAGACAAGATGCACAGAAAACCTGATCACTAAATTAAATAACAGGATTAGGAGATCTGTAAAATATTAAGTCAATCTGACTTATAATTTATGAGGTATCATGAGTTACAAAGGAATATAAAACAGCTGCCTGGATTCTGAAGTAATGACAGGATGAAACTTTACCTTTTATAAAAAGCTCATTAAGTCTTACAAATATAAAAGACCTAGACGCAGTAATAGTCTAGTGCAGAAAGACTAGAATGTTATTTTGGGTTCATATGCATTCTAAAACTTTATTCTGTTGGACAATAAATAAAGTTTAAAGCCTCTTATTTTATTGCAATAAAATGTACCGAGGAAGCACAGACACAAGAAACTGCCTGGGAACTGCCTCATAATAATACATTTTAAGGATCTGTCCATGAGACTGACAATAATCTAATCTTAAAAGATGTAGCAAAGACCTGACATGTTCCTCTTTTTGCAATGTTATTGCAGACTTCCTTGGAATGTTAAGGAAAGTATACCTGCCAGTTGTAAACATAGGATGTAAACATTGAATCAAAGCTCAAATGTACAGTGTTACAGTTTTGGAGCATCAAAATGGTGCATATTGTGTTTTGGGGTCTTCATTGTGGGATCATAAGCATGTAATATCCCTTTCACGTATTATATAACGAAAAACTTCAATAAATCAGAATGGGCACCCTGAGAGCCACTAATATAGTCTAGAATAGTTATAATGTTGATCCTTCACAAAGCCAGGAATCATTTCAAAAAGATTTGACCAGCAGAATTAAAAAAATTAGTTAGCAAATAATGCATTTTAGCCTAAATGTCTTATTGTACCATGTAATGCTGATTCACTCCCAATTACGGTTATGTTTCTTTATTTCCACCATTTGTTTTCCCCTAGCAGGTGATACATGACATAATGATCACCTTTGAGAGTATCAGGTAGAATGCTTTGAGATAATAATATAGCAACACAGGTAATAAATATTAGATTCCATTGTAAATATGCATTGTTCTATATACACAAGGCAACAACCAACTTATTGGTAAATCAGTCCTGTGAAGCAAATACAGACTGTACCCCTGGCAGATGGGGGGGGGGGGCAATTAGTGGGCCTCTATAGGCATAACTTGACCTTTTCAAAGAAATTTTCAAGAAAATAGGCCTTAAATTTTTATTTTAAAGTTTGGGCCCAATTTTTGGTTTAAGTACCATTTGCATTCGTTTGACTTCACTTCTTAAAAGAGAGCTTCGTCTTGTAGTTTAACTAGACTCTGCACGCAGGGTATGGTTTAAGGGGCCCAAGACTTGAAATTTGGGGCCCCCTTGTCAGTTTCTAGATCCCCCCCTGTGTACTCAACAAATATCTTATAGAGATATTTAGTAGCTCAATATCTACATAAAATGTCCCTAAATTCAGAGAAAATTTTAAAAGAGAATTTTTCCATCAACGCAGTAACAGCATTTAAAAGATATAATGTCACACTTTCAAAAAAGTGGAGAAATGACATTTCAACAATCAATCAAAATTTTCTGATTTTCAACTATCCAATGTACCATATTATGTAAAAATCTACATAAATATGTAAAATAATTCCCATTTCATTAACTATTGGTCATTATAATTATCAAAATTCTCATGATGTTGATGTCCCTTAAGCATAAATTTCTAGTTGCTAGATGAACCCCCATTAGTGCCATTACCGAACAAATAAGTAAGTACATAATGCAATTTAAAACACTAACAACTAAGTGGACATCATGTTTGAACATTAGCCATTGGCCAGATTGCTTTATTACTAAAGCAGTTTCCAAGACCTAGGGACTAAAAGCATTGATTTCTGCTCAGATATTGAATACAGCGGTATAGGGAGTATAAATATTGCAGAAACATCAAAGTTTATTGTGTTAGCAACAAGATTGTCTCGAGGCTTTGTCGTCTTGATTACCAGGAAACACTATCATACTGCAGAGAGTCGGGAAGGAATTTATAGCCAGTTTGCACGAAAAATACACACAACAAAGCAGCCTTGGCATTACATATATAATTTAGCACGAAGAAAAAGGCCAAGGGGAACTAATACTATATTAGAAGTTCTATGAGCTTCAAATCAGATTTATGTGTATGAAAAATAAAACATTAATGTCTGTATGACAAATAAATTAATAAGTTGTTCAATTTTCTCATCCTTCCCCTTCTCAAGAATTAACGATCACATCAAAGTATCTTTCCGTGACAGAGGACAAAAATATGATTTTTAATAATCCTTTTTTGGTTTTAACATTTGGCTAGAAATTCATAATTATTATGTAAAACTCGAAGGAAGTCTGACTACATACCATTGCCATCGGTTAATAAATAATAAAAAAGCGAAAGTATAGCAAACATAAGATGACCTTGAAATTCATTTACATGGTCACAATACCAAGTAGTCTAGGCCATATTTTTAAGGGCTTTATACTATATTATGTATAATTAATGAAAAAGACACGTTCATGATATTGATAGCTGACCAATTACTTCTGTTTTTCTTCTTCATCAACATTAGTTCAGTTCAATACAACTTGCTCTAAGACATACACAAGTTGTATAAAGAAACAAAATGTTATCTAAACAGAATGAAATCTAGTTGTTCTATAAGAAACACTGCTCTAGGACTGCAAGAGAACAATCACCTTACTAGATATCTGCAACAAAATCTTTTCTATATAGAACACAGACAGATAGTCCACAATGAAAATTTGCATGAAGTATATGGAACCCATCTATCTAATTTTTTGGTAAATTGACACTTTGTTTACTGGAATACTGACACTTAAAATTATTTATAATTTGTAATACTGACACTTTGAAATTATTCAATTTTGAAATACTGACACTTTAAAGAAATCTTTGTCAATCATGAATCAAAATTTTGGCTACTCCATTCTTATATCTGAAACCTAAATAAATAAAATAATACAATGATGTCATTAAACATGTCCTCTTCTATGATGTGCACAGAAATACATTCATGAACCTAAATTTTACAGATTTTCCACTGTGAAAATTATGTCCTAGAGATGTAAATATTTTATTTTTGGCTTGAGTTTTGCCTCTTCTTTTTTATTTTTGGATTCAAGTTAACCCCTCCCCTCAACATTATATGAAATATTATTTATGATAAAAAATGCTCCCTGGAACAACAAAGGGAAGTCCTTATGACATTTTACAGAGCTAAGTCTAGTCAGAGGGGTTAGTCATCACCACATAGTAATTATCCTATCACCCAGGGAATAGTGTTCACAATAACAGAGATCCATATTGCACAAATATTTTAGTTCCTTTTCTATTTGTTATGAATCACAATCAAACAATATACATTTATAAGTAAACTGAGAATATATACACAATGATGACATGTTGACAAGATTTTCCAGTATCAAATGTTCAATCTCTTGTTTTTAGAATTCTAGGTCGATTGAATAATAATTATCCATTCTCATACTCATTGGATCTCAATTCTTACTGCAGATATGATTGCATTTGTAAGAAAGGATATGAAATGAGTATCACAATGATATTTATCTGGGAACACGGACATTACGAGATACGGATGCGACTGAATCATACCAACTATTTCTATATACCAAGCAAGTGTCAGCTATATTTTTCAATTAGGTATGTCAATTTCTATTATTGATACTGCATAGCGGTATATTAGACTGACATACAATGATTTCAGCACTCGATCAATGCTTGCATTAGATCACTCAGCACTACTTCTGATAATCATTACTGTCATTGTAAAAGTATAAAATATATTCTAAGAATAGCGTCTCTTTATGGATTTGCCAATGGGAATTTATGGCTCTAATAGCAAGAAGCTTCTCCTTTTTTACAAAAATTCTACCCACATCATTAGTCTATTTTCATCAGAGATGTAGGCAGAATTGGGATTGTTCTATGGATAATCTCCATGGTAACTTTAGAAAGTCCTTGACCTTTCCATTTGACATGCAAGTGACAGGTGAATGACATGGATGTACTCGTGTCATCATTCTTTGAGGGAGAACTTTTGTAAATGACATCATCACGCAGTACAAACTTCGACCGTTAATTTGAATTTTTGACCTACCGGATGTTTGAAAATCAAGGATTACGAGTCTCATACTGCACCGTTTTTATTCAAACTTGCTCCATTCAAAGCATCACAAAAATCCCTTTCTGATGGTACATTATTCTCTTAATCAGAGTCTCTACTTCCAGCGGCATTTTGGTCCCCAGCTGTAAGAAGGCCTTCTAACAGCTGGGGACCAAAACGCTGCTTGAACGAGGGACTCTTTACAATAAAGTAATGCACCGACAGAAAGGCAATTTTGTTTTGCTTTTAATGGTATAAGTTTGAAGAAAAACGGTGCAGTATGAGACTCGCAATCCTTGATTTTCAAGCAGCTGGTAGGTCAAAAATTCAAATTAACGGTCGAAGTTTGTACCGCGTGATCATTACATTTTGTGATATCATTGACAACTGTATCCTAACACACTATGATATCACAAACAACATAAGATGACATCATAATTTCAGTTCATTGAAATGTTTGAGATTTAACTGCTAATATTCAATTGGATATTTCGGCCTTTGTTATTTTCAAAGGATTATATATATATAGATACGTCATTTTCATCCTGAAAAGAATAACTGTACTACTGTATTTTTTAGTTTGAATTCTAGGTTAGATCATTTTGGTTGTAACTCATAATTATATAGATTATGCAATAAAGTAGTCCTTACCTTGAAGGTGTAAGGTTTTGCAATGACTTCTAGCAGCAATGTGCTGCAGCAGAACAATATAATCCCAGATGATCTCCAACTCCCCATCTTTAGCTAAAGCTCTAAATCCCTATCTGGAAAAATGGAGATAACAATTTTAGAAATATTAGCAGGAAGGAAAAAACAAGCCCTTTCATTTCAACATAATTTTCCAACTCACTTTATACAGGAATTATTTTAATGAATTGATACACTCTGTATTTCTCAATGGACTCAATAATGACTTTACTTATAACTTGAAAAGTACTAGGTAGATAATGGAAAGTTAGGTTGAAATAAGATAGCATAAACATCGTATGAACATTCCCAGGAAGATTCCCATGCAAGAGTTGCAAGAGAAGTGACAAGAACATTTGTTTCTCCTCTTCATGTTGTTTTCCAAGAGCATGCATAAAAACATAAATAATTATTTCATCCATAACATTTTGACCTCATAACTTAGACGAACATCTCAGAATGTAATAAAAGATGTATGTATGTCTATTATGCCTGTGTTATTAAACTGTTAATAAAAATGAAAAAATGTCAAGGTTTTTCAAGCAAAGAAAACTAGGAATAAATTCATATTGACTTGTAACAGATAATAGCTGTGTTTATACTGTACATTATTACCACGCAAGAGAGAAAAATATTATAATTTCAGCTCAGATGGTATATAGCGAAAAGCATTTTGCAAATGTATTTCAAATGATGAACAATATTATTTTGCTCCCATAATTTTATTTACAACTTACATGTATTCAGTTTGATGCACAGCTCTAATTTATGGCTCAAACCAAGGTGAACCTCAATTCATTGATGACCTTTTTGTTTTTGTTTATTGGTGCTGGGTGCTAGACTGCATTGAATGCAGTTCAACCCTAAAGAACTTGGTGCTGTAGCAATGAAGGTACCAGATGATGCATTAAACATACTAGGTACTGCATAGGCAGTACTGCACCACCATATTTAAGTTGTATCCAAATTCCAAATTTTGGAAAATGTATAGTTATCCCCAAAATATAAAAATATCTGTTGGGACATAACTGGAATTTGTGGGAAACATTCTAGCAAGCAGGAAAACACTAATGTAAGATGTGATAAAACGCTCCAACATGACAGTGTATATATAACTACATGTATATTTTCAACAGATTTCAATAATAAATTAAAAATAAAATATTCAACACCAAATAGTGAATTTAATTTTATTGTAGGTTCCATTGAGAATCTAAAGAAAATGTATTGTTAATTATTTGAACAATGCATATTTATTATTAGTCTGTTCATCAACATAATACAAAGAGCAATATATGAGAGATCTCCAATTTCTGAATATTCGACTCAATGTAATTTATGAAATAATTACTACCCACATATTACAAAAACATCGCTTATTACTATTAGATGCTAAATCATGAAATAAGAAATCTATCTTATGCATTGAATATGCAATTATAACTCCGATTATCCAATGACTAATTATGTTTAACATATTTCTTCAAGTCGCAATATTCCAAGCAAAGATCATTGTTAAATTGAAAAATAGCAATGTAAAACTAAGATTTACCCAAAAATGATATATTACAGTACAAAATACAATAATGCAAGGATACTCACCAAAATCTATGATACATGTACCTAAGTTACGATGTCTTATTGTATAAAATCCAGCTACACCCAGTGATGTTCTGTGTTCTTGATGTTCTACTTCTACAGTACTCACTCCCCTCATAGAAAGATCCAACATAGACTAGTCCATTAACTGATGAGTCTGGGTGAGTCTAATATCTCCCAACGAAGGGATGTCAGCCTAGTATGATTCGAGACAATCAATATTCTCAGTCATGATTTCATTTGTATTGTATGCGACAGGAATAATATTCACTATTGATCTTGTAGAGGATAATTGAAAATCCCCTATCCAGTGACATCTTTTCTTCATTCCAATGGTGATTACTAACAGGATTAGGCTGACAGGGCTCAGGATCAATAAAATCTCACTTCAATTTGGGGGATTTGATATTACACCTATTCAAATGCTAATGCAATTCCTTGAGGTAAAAGGTGACTAAGGGGATCAATATGCAGTAACAAATGATTTATTAGATGCTTTTGTTTGTTGAGAGTTGTTGAGAAATATTTTGAAAGCACGAGCCATGAACATCTGCTGGGTTAATATTCAATCTACAAAACAGCACCATACAGATGTGCAATAATTTTCTTGATACTGTAGATTGGATTAATTTGGCCCTACTTTATTTGGCAATTTTGCAAATTTTGGCATATTGTTAGCTATTAAATTTGGCAGACACTGGGACATTGCTCTTATACCACAAGTTTTTCTTTTTCAGTTTTTTTTATTTCCCTGGAATTTTTTTGAAACTCCGGTTAAAGATGTAAATTGGTGTTTTTTTTCTAGTTCGCAAAATTTGCCAAAATAAAGTGAGCATCAACTTAACCTAATCTTCAGTGGCAATGAAATTTATTTTCCAGGTAGAGAAATTTTAGTCAATGAATGGTATTATGACATCAAGATGTTAGAAAAACTATTACACTTTTAGAAGTTCTTTTTTAGGTCACCCTGTAAAATTGAAATGACTTGCAAAGTTTTTCCAGAATTCTGTTTAACAGTGAATTTTGATAATAGACTGCATTTTGAAGAAAATACCCCTATAAATCATGTTCATGTCCTTCAGGAAATGTTTGGAATCAACATTCAATACCTTACATCCACTGTCAAACCACTATATTCCTTCAGTCATATGAATGCCTTGATGGATCAAGATAACTTATATAAGGAAGGACTGAAAAAAAACAGGACCATAATGAATGAATCATAATTATAAATCCAAAGTTCTATTTTCGATCTCCAAATTTCATAGTTTCTCAACAGTCAGAAGGATTGAAATAAATAGTCTGTTATTTTTGTAAAATACCGGGCTTATTTTTTAAAATAATTTTTATTGAGGTGCAACTCCAAATGTTTTCTCTCATGCAATATTTCAATCAATTAGACTTATCAAAAGACAGTTAAGACTTCAGACAACAGAGAGTCAATGTCGTCCATGTAGGTAACTGTTGGGATTCCCATGTAGTAGTCATTTGTGTGACTATTATCTACATGGACGACATTGCCTCACAGTACTCTATTGATTTTTATGTCAAAAGCAATGTTTTTCATCTTCAGTGCAGTAAGGTCATTTTCCCAATGTATATCAGCAGATGGATTGAGTCAATGGATCTATATTCTTCTACTTAATTTCCTTTCATATTATCTTTTAATTTTTTAATTACTTCTTAATTTATCTTGGATTTACTATTCTCTAAGCTTTGAGTATACACTGCGGTCATAATGTCATTGTCTTAAAACGCAAGGAATATTCTTACATTTATTGACCCCAGTCTAGAATTAAGGAATAAATAATGATAGGCCATTCAATATGGTGAAATTCAGCACGAGTTGGACAGAATGTTGTACAAAGCACGAACCGAAGGTGAGTGCATTTGTACTAACATTCTGTCCAACGAGTGCTGAATTTCACCATATTGAATGGCCTATCATTATTTATTCCGATTCAAACATAAAAATTAGTAAAAGCCGTGTCTGTGGAACGGGCATGAAGGAAGAATACGCATGCTGTCAAGATTCTGAAGTTGGCCGGAAAAATTTTAGAATTTGTTTGGGCTGTTCTATTTTACTCCCCGTTTTAGATTTTATACGGTGTATAAACTTGAAGTCAACCATAGTTAAATAGTTACAGTAGTTACGGAGGGAGTAAAAAAGAACAGCTATCCCCGGACAGAGCCCCAGATGTGCAGCTGAGATGTGACGTCACTCAAAACAATGCAAATTGCAGATTGAATAGAGCATGGTCGTGCATCTATGGAGAATTAGAGAACGTTCTATATTGGCTATGCTGCATTCTGATTGGTTGAGAAATTCGAATAGAGCACGGTCATGTTTGAATATGAGTTACATGTGGTTGAGAATGAGCATTACTCATTTTTTACAAATGATTGACATTTTTCTATTAAAATAGACAATTTGATCACTGAACAGGCTCATTACACACATTTTAAAACACAATTTGTGTTGATCGGTTGACATATTGGATGAGTGAATATTGAATTGTCAAAGTTAGAGCAACTCCTTCACAGAAATATGTGTTGCTCTGGGTTTCAAAATGATTTTATTTGAGACAGAAATATCTATCAATTTGGGCCTTCAAAAGGTTAATCACCATTCTATCACATTATATGAGTTTCAGTTTAAAACCTCTGAACTTAAGTGTTTAGAAATTGCTTCAATCAGTGGTCTTATGTTCAGTAGAATCACTGTTTACATTATTGACGTTATCAACTTCTTCACATATTTCTTCATTGTCTTTTTACACTTTAACATCCTCGGTACTGTTATCATCCCCTTCTTTGGTCTCTCCAGTGTCATTTGTCCCTGGTTTCTCTTGAACTCCCTTCTCCTCTACATTTTCCCCAGTTTTTTCAGTTTTAATGTTCTTTTCTTCAATGTTTTCATTCTCTACATTCTTAGCTCCACTATTTTCACTTTCTATTTCCTTCTGATTTGCCTTAGATAGTTTTTCTCTTTCTAAATCCTCCAATCTACGTTTTGCGTGACTGACCTCCGATAAATTATATTTACGGAACTTGAAGTAATCCTTTACGACACTCATGCAGCAAATATTCCTAATGATCTCAATCACAATGACAAGCTCACCATGGCTCAGGTCAGCCTTGTGCATTGGGTTGAAATCAGAGACAATATCTGCAACCATTGGTATGACATCATTCCTGCCGATTTTTCCATTATTCCTAACCTTGAACTGAATACAGAATGTTTTTCCCTGTCCAAATTCAGTCAGAAAATGAGGTTTCAGAATTTCTTCAGCAGTTTTCTTAATATCCTCCACAAATGCTTTACATGTTGTGCTAATGGGCAACATGCGTAAAGTATAGCGGGATTTCTGGACTTCCGAATTATAAGAATCTTCAAAGATCTGATGTGCCAATGCACAAGGGTCCTCAATAGAAGTTTTGATGAAAATACAATTGTTAGCTCCACTTTCCATAACCTGGAACCTCCGCTCAGATTTATTGGCATTTGACTGCTTAATTGAGTCAACCTCCTTTTGAAGAGCTTTCTCGATGTCATCCTCTTCATCGTCATCAGAGGAGTCACCAGGCAGCTGTTGAGGGAAAATATACATTTACTGTTTTGACTTCTTATATTGCTTATATCCTATGTTTAGACAAGTTTTAAACCTTATCCCAATAGACCTAACTTTGAGTAGGACGGTTACAAATCCTTAAACTTTACAAAATATATGAATATATGGATGAGTAGCTTCTAAAAATGCCATGAAATAATGTGATATAATCTGCATGTACCTCAAGGTGGAAGCAAAGGCTAGAGACTGAGTGTAAAATGTTGGAAGCAACCTCTGTTTCCCTTATATTATATTTTAAGCTGAACAAAGGTTTCAAATTTCTAATGAAATGTAAGAGTTATCGAAGATTTAAGATGAAGAAATGTTCAAATTCCTCAAAATTATCAAAAGGGAACATATCCCTTTTCACAAAAATTGGTGAATTTTGAAGTTGAAGAAAAAGTACCACCAGCTCATCTCTCTCCTTTATTGCACCTTAGGTTTTTGAGTGATCTTTACAGCCCATATCTTATACTGTTAGAACAATATGTATATGAGTTGCTTACCTTCTCAGGTCCATACACCTTATCTGCATACTCATTGAAGATATTATATGCTTCCCTGACACATCCTTTCTCTTGAAAGTTACAAGTCAATAAGAAGCCTTTCATTCCTGTATCAAGAGCCATACGTTTTCTCTTTGCATCTGGTTGCATATATTTGGCCTTGTTGGACCGTTTCTTTCCTTTTGAGTCACTCATATTTCAGTTGTAGGCTTTCCTATAAATATACATATAAATATCTGTGATCGACTATAGAGGATGGTTAGAAAATAAGGTATAATATGAATAGTTATAGTCAAGAGTGGGACCTACAAAGTAAGACAAAGCCAAACTGATAGACAAATTATTTTCTTATTTCGGCTATCTTGAATGTGTTCCATGCCTTAGAAATATTCAGATTAAAGGTTGAGTTAGAACCCTGGGAGCCAATCCTCCTTGGTAGTATAGGGACAATATTTCACGAGGGGCAATCTGCGCGAGGTTCTATCTTTTAGTTTGGTTTTTGTGCATGCCTATAAATCCAGCAATTTGATTAGTTCAAATTATGTGCGCAATCAATAAACATACATTTTTAGATAGATGTCACTTTTGTTCATTATTTCACAGCAGGTCCTTCGCACAATGTATATACAGTATTGCAGGAATATTTTCAGTGTAAAAACAAAAAGCATACATGCACCAGAAGTGTAATGACAGAGTATCAACTGACCCTGAGGATTTATAGACAGTTTATGGGGATAAAAACTAGATTCCGATAGTCATAGGTCTGAGTATACTGTATATGCATTATACAAAAAAGGCAGAAAAAAGAAATTTTCGTTTTTGATCGCAATATTTGCTTGTAATATTTAAACCTGCACATCGCTCCAAAACGCAATATGTTGACATATATTATTTTTACATTTTCAAGCTCTAGTATAAAGTTGGTGTAAATAAAAATTGTTTATTTCTGCGTAATATCAAAGCACAATGATTTAGTTAGAAAAATAATAATGTTTGCGCGGGATTTGAACCCAGGCCGCCTGCGTACTCAGGGAGCATTCTACCGCTGAGCTACCAGTTTAGTACGAACAAAACGACAAATAAACGCTACTTATTTTAAGTTTTATAATTTGGTAGTGACGTCATGTTCTAAATTTAGAAACCTTCCAAATATCATGTCGATGCCGACAATCGAAGCAATTCAAAGAACAATCTTTATAATGACACATTTATCTTGAGTATTTTAACACGAAATTTGCTCCATTTGTTCATCATTGTATAATCTTTCATTAAGTTCAAAATCATTAAGTTCACCCCCGGAATAACCCTAGATTGCGTTTTGGGGCAAACAGCAGCTTTAACTTATTTCAACCGTCACATTCCACAATTTATTGGTACTTCCGGGCCAGTCAAACGGGGAATCCCCTTATAAATCCAACCACCATCTTGAAAAGTGATTGAATCTCTCTCCATGAAAAAGAAAAATGTTGCGTTCTGCCGATAAACCCAGATAATTGTGGATAAAAGTAGGTATCTTAAGTGTAGGAGGCATGGAAAATTCTCCCATGTTGTAATCATACAGGCAAAAGATTGAGACGTTCTCAGGACTATAGTCCTGGCATGGGATAACCAGCACCGATATATGTCGGTACGGGATACAGTCCGTAAAAAATAAGGTTGTTGTTTTGATGGGAAAATAAAATTTTGAGAATACATATATTAATATTTCAAGGAAAATGCATGACATATACAGTATCCGCGTGAAAAGTCAGAACGAAATGCTTTCGTTTTTTTCGACGTTCGGTTTTGTGCTGTATCGGCAATCATGTTTTGGAAGTTTTTTTACAGGAATATTTTTTGCTGGACAATAATCAGATGAAAATGCATATTTGTGTGACATATTCTGTCACGCAAAAAAAACTGCCGCTACTTCAAATTTTCCAGCAAAATGTGTGACAAATACGCAAATTGCGGGACAGTTGGAAGGCCTGAGATTGAGTCTACAGTCTGTTTCACTGCTTCAAAGGCAAGCAGTTGAAGCTGAAAAATAAGAAATCTAAAGACTATTGTGCCATAATATATAGAAAAATATATTCATATTGCACACGAATGACAATTGTATATCTTGGATTGCTTGTAAATTGGCTGCAACCTCTTATATTTTGATGCTTCTCTGACAGGTTAATTTTGAAAAAAATAACATGGCGGATAGACCTCAAATTACAAAAGGGCACAGGCTTATTGCACTGAATACTAAATAAACTGAAATATACAAATGTCATTCGTGTGTAATATGAATATATTTTTCTATATATTATGGCACAATAGTCTTTAGATTTCTTATTTTTCGGCTTCAACTGCTTGCCTTTGAAGCAGTGAAACAGATAGTTCAACGTCGTTAAACTCAATAACGGCGTTATTTATTTTTAAGAATTTTCTTGGGGCCGTTATTGAGTTTAACCTCTTTACTATTCTTTCCATTGATGCAAGTTTTGGATCCACCGAAACCATTTTTCCGCGATAACATGCAACTGATACTTGACAACAATATAAAAACACATAACATTAAGCGATTCAACACAATATTATTGTATTAAATGGTCATTTATACGAGTAAAATGAGGTTAAACTTACCAATCTCTAAAATGACATTTCCGCATGTCCGTCTTTGTGTCTGTTCGTCCCGAGTTAAAATTTAAACTATTGAAACGAAATTGTTGTCAAATAGATTGATAATTATCACGCGATTACTCGGGAAAAAATAACCATTTTTGAGGATAGCAGGTATCTTTGATTGATTTATATTGCCCTCGTATACACATAAAATAGTTATTAATTGCAAACCTACTGTTCGTTGATGGAGTGTCGCAATGACGGTTAATTCCTGATACGATTTGCAATTTCGATGTTACCGGAGCTGACCGATATTTTCGTAAAATTCTAAACCTGTCTCCAATATTTTCGTAATTATGCATCAATATGGTCTAAAGGGGAAACGGGATGGTGTGTATGTATTTATAAGGTATGTATGCAAGCTTGAATCACATTCTTTATGTAATATCAGGGGCGTAGCCACATATACGCAGAATACGCAGCCGCGTACTATTGAGCACTGGCGGATTAGGGTGGGCCCAGAAAAAAAAATTGGGCCCAAAAAAAATTTTAGGCCAAAAAAGGCCTTATGGCCCCAAAAAGTCGGCCTTTTGGTCATTACTGGGCCTTTTAAGGCCTTATTTTTTAAATTCAGCCCAAATTTTGAAGAAAATGAGCCTCAAAATTTCAAAATTTGGGCCCACTTTTGCCTTTTAGGGGCCCAAAATTTTTTTCCCCGCAAGCGCGGACGTTTTTTTCTCTGACCTAAAAGTTGGGCCCCCCCCCCCCCTTGATGGTTCCCAGATCCGCCCCTGATTGAGAGTCAAAAACCAAAAGTGTAAATTGAAATAAATCATATATTTAATCCAATAGTGTTGTGATAGTGTTATGTTTTTAATTGTCAAACAAGTGATCAGAGTTTATTTAGCCCAGACTGCCTTTGAACCCTACGCAAACATATTATTCTTGGCCATTGTGAGGATGGACTCAAAGCTTTTAGACTGAGATGAGAGATGAAATACAGATGTATTTAATAACGATATAATGAGTGAGAGAATGGGATGATCGTCTACCCTACTATCACACCAAACTAGTTCTCACTACGTTCTCGATTGATTCAATATACAGTACAGTATTTCTATCACTTATTGGATAGATTAACATTTAAAAGTACGTGTCGTACAATTTAGTCGATTTACAGTAGAGGATTTAAATCACCGGTTACAACTCAAAGTACTGTAAGTCTTAGTATTTTTATAGTTTGTACGTATGGGGTTCATGGCTTGGAAATCTACGGGAAAATCTATTTTTACAACGACTCATTATATAATAGCACCTAGAATCGCTCAGAACGCGCCAAATAAGCCCAAAAATCCAAAATTTTACGGGGGAGCATGCCCCCGGACCCCCCTAGTTTGGCTCGGCCTTCGGCCTCGCGAGTCGGCCTCCGGCATCGCGTACTATCGCCACTAATCCTGGCTACGCCCCTGAATATTACCATGTTTTCGGAGTTTAATTAGTTCCGCTTGTCGGAACCTGCGGAACGATTAAATTAACGCATCAGGGGCAAAATGGTCATGGAGGTTAGACCTAGCCGGGGCCATAAGACATGTCAGATAAGAAACGAGGCCCAGGCTAGGTCTAATGTTGTTGGACTATGAAACAGACTGTAGTGCTCACTGTGATCTAGGACCATTTTCCTTATCCCGTTCCCGGACTATAGTCCTGCACTGATCGCATTCATTTGCCTGTACGATTACAACTTGGGAGAATTATCTACACCCCTTACACTTAAGATACCTACCTCAATGCATTATAGAACTCAAGATGTAACTTCTAATATATTGGAACCGCCGATTGTCTGGGTATATCGGCAGAACGGGAACATTTTCTCTTTTTCATCGAGAGAGATTCCATCACTTTTCAAAATGGATTTAAAAGGGGAATCCCCCGTTTGGCTGTCCCGGATGTAGCCCGGAAGTACCAATATGGAGGAATTTGACGGTTGAAATAAGTTAAATGTTACACGCAAATATTGCGATCAAAAACGAAAATGTCTTCGTTCTGCCGATAAACCCAGACAATTGTGGATTCAACTACACGAAAAGAATGCTAAATTACCAAGGAATCTATTGAAGTAGGTATCTGAAGTGTAAGATCAGTAAAAATTTCTCCCATGTTGTAATCGCACAGGCAAAAGATTGAGATGTTCACAGGACCATAGTCCGGGAACGGGATAACATTTTCCCTGTATGCGAATGCACAGAGTGTAAATATTGTTTGATGAAGAACATATATTAGCAATGAAGCAATTTGTAACTAATATGATATGCAATAGATGTGCTTCCGAACTGGAATTGAAAAGTATTCAAAAAATATTAAAATCAAAACAAAACCACGCTTACCGGAAGTATCTACTTTCTACCGGAGTGAAGCAAAATTGCAATAAATTTTTTTTCTTATGATTTTAAAATTCGATTTTTAATTTTACAAAAATATATTTTATTAATGTATAGATTGTGTAGCAGAATCTATCTATTTTCTATTTAAATAAAGTATAAATTCTCTTCATTTATTATTCAGTCCTTGTATGATTTGAAAATGGCGGATGTGTCCCTCGATGATATTATTCGAAAAAAGCGCTTTAACAGGGGAAATAACAATAGGTATGGTGTTAAACACACTTTTATAGGTACCACCAATATTTTATTATATAATGCACAAAGTTTTACACAAATTGGTGCATTGATGGTTGAGATATTCATGTTTGTTCATGAAAGTTTTTCAATTTCGTTTTTCACATTCGTTCTGTTGAACAAGGAGTAGATCTATTGGAATGGAAGCCAGGGTTCCAACTCGATATTCTTTGATCTCCAACGTGATGCGATATTCGCGCCTGTATATATATACGGCAGCAAGGAGAATGGCTGATATTCTTGATCAAATTTTGTATTCACGACATGACTAATGTAATATGGACTAGAATATCAAGTGGCATCCCTGGGAGCCAATTCGCCTTTCTGTTGAATGTTTAAGTAAGACTTCATGGTTTGATCAGAGGTATATCGCAGTACGAGGATCCACCCAGTGATATTCCCAGGAATACTCATCATTCTAAATTCTTCTTCTGTTAGGTAAAAGCGATGGATCCTCAGACTGCAATGCAGTCCCTGTCATAATGAAAAATGCGCCAATAAGTTACAGTCAGATTCATAATTCCATTGATAACTTTAGTTAATATGTTAAGTACATATCTCTATTTTTCATATAATACTGCAGCTTTGATTTCTTATTTTTTAGATTCAAAGTTGTCAATAAAATTATGAATCTGGCTCTAATAGGGAATGATTTTTCCTCCACGAAGTATGTGCATACTTTAAGCGCATTTTTATGGTTGGTCTATACTGAGAACATCTTAAGTTGTCCATATGATTGCAATATTGGAGAATTGTCCTCGCCTTGCACCCTTAAATGACCTTACTAAATAAATTCCTGAGTATTTTAAGATTCTTTTTATGTACTGGTTGAATCTCCAGTGCGGATAATATGATTTAATTGGCAGAAGTAGTTAATTTTTGATAGCATTTTTTTGTTTGTTATTTAACTTATTTCAACTGTCAAAATTCTGGTACAACCCGCCTCTCAGCACCAGATCCGAATTTTATTATGGGGATTCCCCCCACCATCTTGAAAAGAGGTACTATCTGTCTCAATCAAAAATGTAATGTAGATAAACCAACTACCCATTAGGATTTTCCCCATAATAAAAATCTGCAATCTGGATTGTTGAATTGATTTATCCTTTTCAGGCAGAACAAAGGAGGCGGTGGGGCACTGCAGCTTCAAACCAAAAAGAATCAAAATCGTGGCAACCCTATTAAAATATCTAAACAGAAGCAGCCTGTCATAAGAGTCACTGGACTTGGAAAAGTTGGGAAGCCCCAAGTTGGTAAAAAAGGATTCGATGCAAGACAGAGACTTGGAAACAAACCTGGAAGTTTCAATAATCCGGTTGTAGATGCAAGGGAAAAACTTCAACAAAAGACAAAATTTGTTGATGCTAGAGTTAAAATTCAGAATGCAAAAGCTAAAACAACTCCAAACAAGCCATTAGATGCCAGAGCCAAGATTAACATTGCAAAGGGGAAAAATGTTCTACTTGATGCTAGATCTAAAATCAAGGCTAAACAGCAGAACAACAGAGATAACAATCCCAGTGACAATGGTCCTAATGTAATAGTAACAGGACTAGGAAATGTTAGGACCTCTGCTGGGGGACTTATTGTTACTAAGATGACACCCCCAAAACAGGAAGAAAATACAGCTTTTACATCTCCTGGTGAAAGTTTTATTAAAACGGTATGCATATCTTTTATTTTATTATTGTTTCTTCAATATGTGTACTAAAATATAGTTTGGTATTAAGTTTGGATAACTTCTACTTCAAGTAGTGTCCAATCTAACAAACATGTTACATTTTTCCAGTCTAATAAAACATGTTACATTTTTCCAATCTTACAAACATGTTACATTTTCCAATATAACAAACATTGTTACATTTTTCCAATCTAACAAACATGTTACATTTTTCCAATCTAACAAACATGTTACATTTTTCCAATCTAACAAACATGTTACTTTTTTCCAATCTAACAAACATGTTACATTTTTCCAATCAAACAAACGTTACATTTTTCCAATCTAATAAAACATGTTACATTTTACTGAATGCAAAAGTGATCTTTGAACCTCTCTTTCAGATTCGCAATCCCAACATTCAAGAAAGTCCAACTGGTCTCATTACCAAAACAGTAAGTTCATTTGATACATCATGCTTAATTCATATATTTGAAGAATTAGAAATAGAAATAAGATTCCAAAGTATTTGTGCCTGATATCAGTACATGCAGTATACATTTTATTTGTATTATTATGTTTCATTTTAGCTGAAAGGTTTAGGAGAGACATCTCCATATGCGAATGCAGGACCCACACCGAATTTCCGCATCACATCAGCTAACACTGTAAGTAATAGTTCTTGATAGGTTTATATGTCCCTATGTTCCATAGTATGAACAAGAGAACCCAGTAATTGTGAATCTATAACCACTCTTAGAAGTACAGGTTAGTCCACTAAATATGTAATAATCAATCAATACAGTGCCAAATCTACCTTTGCAGATTCGCTTACCTAAACAGTGGGCCTTAACCTAAGCTGATTGTTATTGTTACTGTAACTTAATATTTTAAATGTACACTTTCAATTTATAGGCTAGACCATTTGCATTTGGTGTTCAACAGGTCAACCTTTCAACTGCCATTCAGGCCTCTCCAGAGCCTATGCCATATATTTCTATAAAGAATGATAAGTACCAGCCTCCTGTGCAGGAGTATATTGAAGAACCAGAAACTGACATGTCTGCTCTTCTGTTCAGTCGGCCAGTCAGGAAAACTCAAGAAGTTTATATACCACAGGTTTGTTTATTATTGAATATTCGAACATGACTGTATTCGTGCCTTCTTTAAACTGTGAACAAAGTCAACATTTTACCCGGGGCATATTCGCGAGCAAAACCCCTGGTTATTCGGTTGTTCGGGGTACAGAAAACATTTGTGCCTAGCCATGCGGGGTGTACTCGGCGATATTACCCCTGCTCTTCGGTCTATATTTCTTAAATACAAATAATTCACGCATTCTTGATTTCTAAAAAACTGGAGGGAGTATTATCGCTCTTGTTAAGATGGGTGTAATCGAAATAGAAAATACTTCATTCAGTTAACCTTAACTTCTGAACAAATGCATGAGTAGACTACATGCTGGGTAATTTACAAGATGGCCATTTTAATTTTTAAGTAGAACCATGTATATCTATCAACATGTCTTGTTTTTGATGTTATATCAAAACAGAGTCAAACTCTGATGATGATAATGATGATGATGATGGCTTTTAGAGCTTGTTTAACTGAAGTCATATTTCTGAAATATTTTTCTTATTTGTCTTATATTTTCAAGGTTCAGTTTGACACTAGGGCCCAAGCTGCTCCTGTGATTCAGCAGAGCATGTTTGCACGTCCTGGCATAAAGCGACCAATAGTTTATCAGGAAGATGACTATGAAGAAGTAGTTCCAACACGGAGGATGAAATCTGATATTCCAGCTACACAAGTTCGGCAGAGGATACAGCTGGTTCCGCCCTCAGTAAAACCTAACCCTGTGAGGAGAGTACCTATAACTGCACCTGAGAATGATGTGGTAGGAATCTAACCCTGTTTTAGGTTGTACTTCCATGGGTCTGAAGGAGGGTTCGGAGATTTGGTCAATAACATTCTTTGTAATGTCATATTATTGAAGTAACGCACCATAGGCCAAGAATACAAGAATTAAAAATCAATATCTCAAAGACTAGTTTTTCTCGAGACCATTTCAAACATTCATATTTGACTGGTATATTACAAATCCTTAAATTTTGAGAAGTGATTTGCTTGTTAAAATTATCAAACCATATTATTTAAATACTCCAAACTTTAGTGATGTACCTATACTACCCAAAGTATGTTTTGTAAAAATGTGTTATATTTATTTCAGATTAGTAAACCAATAAAAGTAATGAATAAAAAGAAAGCTGTTGCTAAGTCTGCAGTTCCCGTGGTGACACCAGATGAGGTCATAAGTCCCCTACAGGGATACAGTGTGAAGGTCACAAATCTTGACCACATAGTTACACAAGAGGATATTATGGTGAATATACAATTTTCATGTTGCCTTTTGTGCTTTCAATTTTAAGTCAATATGCACTGAACCAAGCAGAGTTTAATAGAAATAGATAATTCTGACAATTTATGTTCAGGGTACATAAAATATGAAAAACAACATTCTATGATTTTTTCAAATTGATGAGTGGGAAGAGGATTTTTTGGAGGAGAGAATTTGAAATATTCTTTAACTGCGTGAAAAGAAATGTGTAAAATAAATATTATTCTTCAATTTTTGTGGAATCTTTATATGGGTCTCAACATTGTCCAACCTGATTAAAAATTACAACAGAAAGTTAAATTCACTTTATGAATACTAAATTTTATGTTTTTTTATTTTGCACATTCTAAATTAAATAGTCTATTGCAACAAACACAATTTCTCGTTTAATAACAAATAAGTTTTTATTAATCTATTTCTTTATCAAAAGTAAAACTACACACATGTATATATTTATAAAACATCAGATCAAATGAAAAGTATTTTATGCAAAATACAAAATAATATGAATGAAAAAATATCTACCCTAGTTTCTATTAAAAAGTATATCCAAAAAATATCATTGGTATCATGGAGTGTGTACAGATTTCCCCTTCCAGGGCTTCTACTTTTGTACATATATTATATACATCCATTATCTATATATTATACAATATCACTGTATTAGTCTTTTCAGTAATATAAAGTTCTTGTTTTCCCCTCTCATGTTGTATACATTCATAAGAGATCAGTTCATCTATGTCCCATATAAATTCTCATATGTCTATAATTGCATGACTCTTATGGCAGCATTAACCAGCATGACAGTATACATTCATAAGAGATCAGTTAATCTATGTCCCATATAAATTCTCATATGTCTAGTATTGCATGGCTCTTATGGCAGCATTAACCAGCATGACAGTATTCATTCATAAGAGATCAGTTAATCTATGTCCCATATAAATTCTCATATGTCTAGTATTGCATGACTCTTATGGCAGCATTAACCAGCATGACAGTATACATTCATAAGAGATCAGTTAATCTATGTCCCATATAAATTCTCATATGTCTAGTATTGCATGGCTCTTATGGCAGCATTAACCAGCATGACAGTATTCATTCATAAGAGATCAGTTAATCTATGTCCCATATAAATTCTCATATGTCTAGTATTGCATGGCTCTTATGGCAGCATTAACCAGCATGACAGTATACATTCATAAGAGATCAGTTAATCTATGTCCCATATAAATTCTCATACGTCTAGTATTGCATGACTCTTATGGCAGCATTAACCAGCATGGCTAATACAACCATGAATCCATTTATATGTGCTGATATTGTAGTTGTTCCTGATACAGTTGGTCTTGGATCATCCATGATGTTGTCAATGACTATAACATTATAACCTGAAATAAGAGAAAACATTTTTTGAAAATTAATTTTGTTTTAAACCCGTTGTATGATATATAACAGGAGTAAACAGTTCCTACTATTAGTGAAAAGTTAAAGGAAAACCCAAATTATATTGGCTTGATCTGGTAAATTTCCTACCAAAATATCCAAGATGCCCAGGGAATTTATAGTAACTAAAAGCCCCCAAAAATGCCAGGGAATATCCTTGTTAAAATTTTTTAGGAACCTTGGATACATTTTAATTCGAAGGTAAAGTCTACTAAAGAATATTCTCCAACTGATACAGTATGACTCAACATAGAATGAAAATGTGAAATAAGATAAGTTCTTAAAAAGATTGATAAGGATCTTTATCTTTAATTGATTGAATAATTTCATGTTCTCACCTTTACATTGACATATTGGGCATTTATTTTCATCAACAGCAAATCCATAATCACATCGAAGTTGACAACTGGCTATCTTCTCACCACACTCCAAGGGGTACTTTCTGCATTCACAATGGGGACAGTTGTTGTCATCAACCTCAAACCCAAACTCACAATTTTTTTGGCAGCTTACAATGTTCTCTCCACAAGTAGGATTTTGTTTACATTCACAGGTATCACACCCGTTGGCGTCAGTTTTAAACCCATGTTCACAATGCATCATACACATAACAGGGGAACACTCGGGTGGCGATTGGCACTCACAAATTTCGCATCCATTAATGTCAGTTTTAAACCCATGTTCACAGTGCATTCTGCATCTGATTGATGGACATTGAATTGCTGGTGGGGATCGACACTCACAGAATTCACAGCCTGCACTGTTTCGTTTGAAGCCATGTTGACAAAACATTTTGCATCTTACTGGGCTACATGTAGGTGGCACTGTAGTGAAGTCATTAATCTGTGTTACTGGAATTGGGGCTGAAAACAGATTAGGAAGAATTAGATAATTTGTATTTCAAAACAAAACAAAATAAGGTAACCATGATGTAATAATGGATTGAAAACAAATTCATTTTATGAAAAGGTTTTCTTACCTTTGCATTGACACAGTGGGCAGTTATTCTCATCAACTTCAAATCCATCCTCACAGTGAAGATGGCAAGCTGGAATGTTGTCTCCACAGATAGCAGGGTAGGGTCTGCATTCACATTTAGGGCAGCCATTGTTGTCTGTTGTAAACCCATGTTCACAGTACATTGAACAAATAATAGGTGAACACTCTGGTGGTGATTGGCATTCGCAGATTTCACATCCGTTAACATCAGTTTTATACCCATGTTCACAGTACATTCTGCATCTGACTGGAGGGCATTCAATTTCTGGTGGGGATTGGCATTCGCAGATTTCACATCCGTTAACATCAGTTTTATACCCATGTTCACAGTACATTCTGCATCTGACTGGAGGGCATTCAATTTCTGGTGCTGATTGGCATTCGCAGATTTCACATCCGTTAACATTAGTTTTATACCCATGTTCACAGTACATTCTGCATCTGACTGGAGGGCATTCAATTTCTGGTGGTGATTGGCATTCACAGATTTCACATCCGTTAACATCAGTTTTATACCCATGTTTGCAATACATTCTGCATCTGACTGGTGGGCATTCAATTTCTGGTGGTGATAGGCATTCGCAGATTTCACATCCTGCACTGTTTCGTTTGAAGCCATATTGACAGAACATTCTACATCTCACTGGGGCACACGTAGTTTGCACGGTAGTCAAGTCATTAATCTGTGTTACTGGAATTGGGGCTGAAAATAGACGAAAAATTATTATCTATTTTATTCTTTTATACACCATTAAAATAAGGTCACTATTATGTTATAATGGACAAAATCAAACTTATATCAAGAAAACACTTTCTTACCTTTGCATTGACACAGTGGGCAGTTATTCTCATCAACTTCAAATCCATCCTCACAGTGAAGATGGCAAGCTGGAATGTTGTCTCCACAGATAGCGGGGTAGGGTCTGCATTCACATTTAGGGCAGCCATTGTTGTCTGTTTTAAGGCCATGTTCACAGTTAATCAAGCACATTGGAATGTTGTCTCCACAGATAGCTGGGTAGGGTCTGCATTCACATTTAGGGCAGCCATTGTTGTCTGTTTTAAGGCCATGTTCACAGTTAATCAAGCACATTGGAATGTTGTCTCCACATATAGCAGGGTAGGGTCTGCATTCACATTTAGGGCAGCCATTGTTGTCTGTTTTAAGGCCATGTTCACAGTTAATCAAGCACATTGGAATGTTGTCACCACAGATCGCTGGGTAGGGTCTGCATTCACATTTGGGGCAGCCATTGTTGTCTGTTTTAAGGCCATTTTCACAGTTTAGCAAGCACATTGGAATGTTGTCACCACAGATCGCTGGGTAGGGTCTGCATTCACATTTAGGGCAGCCATTGTTGTCTGTTTTAAGGCCATTTTCACAGTTTAGCAAGCACATTGGAATGTTGTCTCCACAGATAGCAGGGTAGGGTCTGCATTCACATTTAGGGCAGCCATTGTTGTCTGTTTTCAACCCATGTTCACAGTTAATCAAGCACATTGGAATGTTGTCTCCACAGATAGCAGGGTAGGGTCTGCATTCACATTTAGGGCAGCCATTGTTGTCTGTTTTCAACCCATGTTCACAGTTAATCAAGCACATTGGAATGTTGTCTCCACATATAGCAGGGTAGGGTCTGCATTCACATTTAGGGCAGCCATTGTTGTCTGTTTTAAGGCCATGTTCACAGTTAATCAAGCACATTGGAATGTTGTCACCACAGATCGCTGGGTAGGGTCTGCATTCACATTTAGGGCAGCCATTGTTGTCTGTTTTAAGGCCATTTTCACAGTTTAGCAAGCACATTGGAATGTTGTCACCACAGATCGCTGGGTAGGGTCTGCATTCACATTTAGGGCAGCCATTGTTGTCTGTTTTAAGGCCATTTTCACAGTTTAGCAAGCACATTGGAATGTTGTCTCCACAGATAGCAGGGTAGGGTCTGCATTCACATTTAGGGCAGCCATTGTTGTCTGTTTTCAACCCATGTTCACAGTTAATCAAGCACATTGGAATGTTGTCTCCACAGATAGCAGGGTAGGGTCTGCATTCACATTTAGGGCAGCCATTGTTGTCTGTTGTAAACCCATGTTCACAGTACATTGAACAAATCATAGGTAAACACTCTGGTGGGGATTGGCATTCGCAGATTTCACATCCGTTAACATCAGTTTTATACCCATGTTCACAGTACATTCTGCATCTGACCGGAGGGCATTCGATTTCTTGTGTTGATTGGCATTCGCAGATTTCACAGCCTGCACTGTTTCGTTTGAAGCCATATTGACAGAACATTCTACATCTCACTGGGGCACACGTAGTTTGCACGGTAGTCAAGTCATCAATCTGAGTTACTGGAACTGGAGCTAAAAACAGACAAGAAATAATTATCTATTTTATTCTTTTTACACCATTAAAATAAGGTCACTATTTTGTAATAATGGACAAAATCAAACTTATATAAAAAAACGCTTTCTTACCCTTGCATTGGCACAGTGGGCAGTTATTCTCATCAACTTCAAATCCATCCTCACAGTGAAGATGGCAAGCTGGAATGTTGTCTCCACAGATAGCGGGGTAGGGTCTGCATTCACATTTAGGGCAGCCATTGTTGTCTGTTTTAAGGCCATGTTCACAGTTAATCGAGCACATTGGAATGTTGTCACCACAGATCGCTGGGTAGGGTCTGCATTCACATTTAGGACACCCATTGTTGTCTGTTTGAAGGCCATGTTCACAGTTAATCAAGCACATTGGAATGTTGTCTCCACAGATCGCTGGGTAGGGTCTGCATTCACATTTAGGGCAGCCATTGTTGTCTGTTTGAAGGCCATGTTCACAGTTAATCAAGCACATTGGAATGTTGTCTCCACAGATCGCTGGGTAGGGTCTGCATTCACATTTAGGGCAGCCATTGTTGTCTGTTTGAAGGCCATGTTCACAGTTAATCAAGCACATTGGAATGTTGTCTCCACAGATCGCTGGGTAGGGTCTGCATTCACATTTAGGGCAGCCATTGTTGTCTGTTTTAAGGCCATGTTCACAATTAATCAAGCACATTGGAATGTTGTCACCACAGATCGCTGGGTAGGGTCTGCATTCACATTTAGGACACCCATTGTTGTCTGTTTGAAGGCCATGTTCACAGTAAATCAAGCACATTGGAATGTTGTCTCCACAGATCGCTGGGTAGGGTCTGCATTCACATTTAGGGCAGCCATTGTTGTCTGTTTTAAGGCCATGTTCACAGTTAATCAAGCACATTGGAATGTTGTCACCACAGATCGCTGGGTAGGGTCTGCATTCACATTTAGGACACCCATTGTTGTCTGTTTGAAGGCCATGTTCACAGTAAATCAAGCACATTGGAATGTTGTCTCCACAGATCGCTGGGTAGGGTCTGCATTCACATTTAGGGCAGCCATTGTTGTCTGTTGTAAACCCATGTTCACAGTTTATCTGACAATGTGGAATATTTGCACATGGGTCATTGGTCGTTTCTGAAACAGGAGGAAGAATTATTGTTTATTATTAAAGATTGTGGCATATGCCTCTCAAATAATGTAAGTTGATAATTGCTTCACCCCATTGTCTTTAATACATCAAATATTTGACTAATAAGAGATTAATGCCTCTCAGTCCCAAAAACAGAAATTTATTTAAATAATTTATTTAAATTTATTAAATTTATTTTAATTTTATTATTTTGGTAAACCATAATTTTTAAGTCACAAGAACCAAATGGAAAAAAATCAAAATTCAAGTCAACTATTCATGTACAATACTGAGTTATACTTTTGTAAAAATGTATCGAGCATGTTCATATTACATAAATCAGCTTTAATATTTGAAAGAACCTCCAATTTACCTTCAATTGGTGCTGAATAAACTGCTCCTATTAACCATGCCACTGCAATTGAAATTATATAGGTCTTCATTGTGTCTCTCTCAGATCTTTATATGATACTTAATATCAAAGCTGTTCAAAAATTCTTTATTGCTGTCACAGTGTGTTTTGCGATGTTCTGTTGTGGACCCACTGTGGCTCCTCTTTTTATACCTTTTTGCCATGTTTGTTTTTGTTTTCTGCCTTCATATAATAGGAAGCTGATGTCGTGGATAGATAGCATGTATTGGTGATTAATGTTGATTTAGTGCAGTCTTGAAGTTTCTTTTGTTGGTTTCGTGATCTTTGAACACCGGTTCTAATCTGGTATTGGTGGTTTTAGAATCTCATGACGTATTATGTGCACTTGAACATGGCCAAACTCAAATATTTTAGTGTCATTCAGTCTTGTATTTTTGACATTAGTTAAAGATTAACTTAAGCAATACAAACATAGATGTTATTGATTTTTAATTTTTTGTCTAAGTGTCTTATTTTGACAATTTAATATCCATCCCTTCCAATATTTCTAATTAAAAATAGCTCATTAACCGATGCTCTTGCCAATGAAATCCAGGCTAGCTTTGGTAAAATTTTACAGTATTCTGTACTTTGGGAATATTGCTCCCTCAAGTCCTTTTTTTATTATTCTATGTTCTATTTAATTTAAAAATAGGATTGTCACAAGATTATTCTTATTTGTGAGGGAGAGGAGAAGAATGTTTTGACAATTTGGTACCAGCCACCATCCTGTACCAGATTTTACTTGGTACCTTGAGTTGTAAATCATAAACAGATTGATTTACGAACACACAAAGTTGGCACACCTAAAAGTTTTATATCGGTCAGTACAGTACATGTATTGGTAAATATGTGTAGTTGTACATAGAGAATATGTTTGTTCTAGAGTGGTTTGTCATGTTTTGAACAAACACATTGTTTGTTGTTTGTGGCATTGTATCACTGCTGAGGCTACATACATATTTATCTTCTGCAAAAATACTTTAAAACAATGTGTCTCATTTATGAATGTTGCTCGTCTCTTTAGATATTAGTTCTGTTGAATTGCAATGTTTCAGCTCTTCATAACAGAGAGAGAGATGGGATGACAATAAACAGTATTAATACTTGGTTCTTCATAAGTTTTTCTGCATAATTCTTTGGTTAAACATGTATTCAATCAGAATATCCAATCAGAAACTAAATTTTCTGTCTAGGAATAGCTACTTCCATATCTTGTCTGATATTCAGAGAATTGAGTACCTAGTCAGAAAGCATTCTCTCTTGCAACTCTGTATCTAAAATAGTGAATTGAAAATTACCATATACCCACTTGAAAATTTGTATGAAACATGGATCTAAAAAGAGACGCTATCCAAATTTCAACATTTTTGTAAGAAAAAGTTGATTATGCTAGGTAGGTGGGTTTAAAAGATCAATTGATTCATGAAGAATGGCAGTGAAAAACAAATCAGCATTATGATGGGAGGGAGAGAGGTTAGGCCATAATGAAATAAGCTTTACTTTTTCACAAATGTCAACATTTGAAGGCCATAACTCAGTTATGTCCAGTCTTTTATCCTTGTCCGTAGCCGGATTTTCCTGTTCAAATATTTGATTATTAACAGGGCATACTGCTCCTTCCCTTCTCTAAAGCATCAAACAGATCGCGATTGTTTGCGTTTTTCTCCATTGTCGTTTACAGTATGCGAACGTTACAAAAAAGAACCAATACGTGAACAGCGATTATGACGTAGCGGGCAGATATACTATATCTGCCCGCTCGGAGCGGGACGTAAAGCTATATCTGCCCGCTGATGAAAATATAAGTTTTTACAAACCGGCTTTATGTACCCGTAACACATCCAAGTATGGGATAATAGGATATACTGACTGGAACATTGAATGATTTCTACAGAGATGTGCAACTCAGTAAAACACTCATATTTGCATATATGAGTTTGATGGGGATGGGGATATGAAAGACCCTCTACTTATTTGTTGATCTTTGGCTTAGACTGCATTTTTGAACATGCCTGCGAGGAAGATTTTATTCCTAAAAATTAGCTAGATTGTGGCTATATGTGCGAAATACCACTGTGTAAAACAAATAAATATTACACAACTGTATCAAATTCACTTTCACTACCGTCATACAAAAATAATATGCCCTTTATCTGAATGAAAGTGCATAAGCATTTGAAAGTGTATTGGTAACCCCCTAATACGGAACCTGCTGGTATAACCATTCCCCAATCAATCTTTTAGAAGTGCTGGCCCTGCTTAATCCTCATACAAAACATTATAGTTGGTACTGCTTGTTTGTGCATTGTTGGATCTGTCCATATGTGTCAAAATAGTTCTTTGGCTTGTTTGTTTAGATTTTGTTGGTTCTCATCAATCAACATTGAATTTTGAAATAATTTCTTCTTGACGTTTAGAAGATTTGTATCGTCAAATAATTCAATATTTATGTAATTTTAGAGCCAGGTACAATGCTGACACTTTGAAACGAGAGAGGGTTATTTTCTGATCTTTTTTATTACTTGTTTATTCAGCTTTTATGTTTGCCATCAATCATAATTGAATTATGAAATTATTTTTATGGATACTTGACGATTTTAAGTGCCAAATAATTCAATATTAGGTAATGTCAGAGACAGGTACCCATTAAGACTGACAACCAAGGAGACGTTTACTGGAATGTTGAAAGTCAAATCATACATCATAAACGTATTGTTTAGTTTATATGGATAACGTCATAAAAACACAATAAAATATAAGTTGAGGGTAATTTTTTGAAAATTGTCGCAATGTTACAATTTAGTTATTAACTTTTTGGCGTGGCAAAATATTTGACATTCTGATACTTCTAGGTTTATTATGAGGAATAATCAAAGGTTTATAAGGTTGAACAAAACAAGGTTAAACAATATTGAAAGAACCTTATCTAGCAATTATGGTGATACTAACTGTACCTTGCTGCATCCTGCTCTGGAAAGGTGATAAGGATGTATTTATAGTGAGGTAGAGTTGAATAATGTAACAAACATAGATAATGGTAGTTATTAAGGCAAATGACATTTAAATCTATTAGTAATATAAGCATGTCCATATCCTTATAGCGAGTATTAGTTTTTGACTATATGCCATTAGGATTTGAAAAGTGAGTGCATCATGATTGACTGAACAATGGATGTCTTTGATTGTGATACTTCGGGTCTCCATAGTTCAAGTCTGATACACAAAATGTTGGCCTTTTAAAGACATGTTCTTGACATAGTAGATTTCCAAATTCCATTGTTTTAGGCATGCTGGCTATCCAAGCAGATTTATATTAACTTCCCAAGTGAGTTTTTTTTTTTTTTTAAAAGAATGCCTGATTATGAACTGATGATGTTGATGTGGTAGTCTATAGAATAATGTTTTCATTAGATACATGCAACTTGAATAGAATGCAGTTATGTACCTTGCATAGGCCAATAAATGAAATAAGATCTCATGATGCTTTTGTAATACATGAATGTAACATACACATTTCATATACTTTCAGGAACTCTTTGGTGCGTTGGGTCCACTTAAGTTTGCTAAGTTGATAAAGCGAGGAACTGCTAATGTAGTGTTTGTACGTAGAGAAGATGCTCTTACTGCAGTCAAGAAATATCACAATAGGGAACTTGATGGTAAGTATCCTTTATCCAAATCATTCACCACACTGCCCTCTGACTAGTTATAGATTTTACTGTTTTTATGTCACCATCAGTATTGGTGACACATTGTTATAATCTCCAACTTTTTGTGGATGGTGTTTGGCATTTTGTTGCTTGTGGTTAGCGTTTGGCTTTTGGTGTCTGTAACAAATGGCAGGTGGTGACATTGTGCATGTTAATGCCTCAATGTAACCTCTTATGGAAGATATACCTTGAATGTGAAATGAGTGACAGCTACAAATTGGTAATAAATTAGACATTTTCCAAATACTTATTCTAATTGAATGGAGGTAAGATCAAAGAATTATTCTTAATACTAAGAGTGCCCATAAAGTCAAATTCTTGTCAAGGGTAGAAAGTAAAACATAAATGAAAAGTTTTTCCATTTTTCCAATGTAGACTAATTATGGAATGATTTGAATCAATAGATAGGATATGAACACAACTGCACAACATTCATATCGTGAATGTGTTCTCTATTCATTTTAGGGAAGCCAATGCAGGTGACTCTGGTTGCATCTACACCCCCTAAGCCTGCCCAGTCATACCCTGCACCTGTAAAGAAAACACCCCAAAGGTAAGAAACCCAAGAATTTATTTTGTGTATCTTCTATGAAACTCTCTTCTGATGAAACTCTTGTTTCACAGGGTGGGCACGATCAGTGATATCAAAACTTTTTTTCTGATCTGGAAAAGTCAGAAAATACTAGTCTTTTCCTCCAAAATGACCAAGAATTTAATATTTTAAGTAAGTGAATTTTTTGAAAAGTTGAACTGAATTCAAGCTCAAACTGAAGATGCATGAAATGAGAAAATTATATCCATGTAATCCTTTGTCTCTTACTTATCTTTTTGCATTTTGGAAATTCACACTTAATTTAGGGTAAAGGCTGGAAATCTCAATCTGAAAGTGTCATTTCAACCCTGGTGTTCAATAGTAGATAGTTTCAAAACTAGGTTTTTGTTTTGCAAGATAATATAGTTTAAAACACAGTATAACATTTTAGTCATTTGCTAGATGCCTAAATATATAGTAACTGCTTTTCAGAAGTATGTTATATATTGTGACTATAATTTTCAGATTATTTAAGAAATAAATATTTAAGAAATAGATTTCATTGTCATCAATTTCTTAATTGTTATGTCACCACCAAAAGTGGTGACATATTGTTATGGTCTCCATTTTTTATGTCACCACCAAAAGTGGTGACATATTGTTATGGTCTCCGTTTTTATGTCACCACCAAAAGTGGTGACATATTGTTATGGTCTCCGTTTTTTTGCGACGGCGGTTGGCGTCCGGCGGTTGGCGTCCGGCGGTTGGCGTCCGGCGGTTGGCGTCCGGCGTCTGGCGGTTGGCGTCAGGCGTCTGTAACAATTTCTTACAACTTCCTATAACTTAACAAATAATGTTTAGACTGACTTCAATTTTTTTCTAAATCATCTACATGTTCTCAGAAGTTCAAATCTGACTTTAGATTTGACATTTGACCTTCAATGACCTTCTCAAAGTCAAAAAAGGTCAAAAAGGTCTTTTTCCAACTTGCTTCAAATTGACTAAATTTTTTTTTCAAAATCATCTACATGTTCTCAGAAATTCAAATCTGACTTTAGATTTGACATTTGACCTTCAATGACCTTCTCAAGGTCAAAAAAGGTCAAAAAGGTATTTTTTCATCTTGCTTCAAATTGACTAAAAATGTTTTCAAAATCATCTACATCTTTTCAGAAATTCAAATATGACTTTAGATTTGACATTTGACCTTTGACCTTCAATGACCTTCTCAAGGTCAAAAAAGGTCAAAAAGGTCTTTTTTCAACTTGCTTCAAATTGACTAATTTTTTTTCAAAATCATGTTCTCAGAAATTCAAATCAAATTTAGATTTGACATTTGACCTTTAATGACCTTCTCAAGGTCAAAAAAGGTCAAAAAGGTCTGTTTTCAACTTGCTTCAAATTGACTAAGTTTTTTTTCAAAATCATCTACGTGTCCTCAGAAATTCAAATTTGACTTTAGATTTGACTTAAGATTTGACATTTGACCTTCAATGACCTTCTCAAAGTCAAAAAAGGTCAAAAAGGTCTTTTTTCAACTTGCTTCAAATTGACTAAATTTTTTTTTCAAAATCATCTACATGTTCTCAGAAATTCAAATCTGACTTTAGATTTGACATTTGACCTTCAATGACCTTCTCAATGTCAAAAAAGGTCAAAAAGGTATTTTTTCATCTTGCTTCAAATTGACTAAATTTTTTTTCAAAATCATCTACATGTTCTCAGAAATTCAAATATGACTTTAGATTTGACTTTAGATTTGACATTTGACCTTCAATGACCTTCTCAAGGTCAAAAAAGGTCAAAAAGGTCTTTTTTCAACTTGCTTCAAATTGACTAATTTTTTCATTCAAAATCATCTACATGTTCTCAGAAATTCAAATCTGACTTTAGATTTGACCTTCAATGACCTTCTCAAGGTCAAAAAAGGTCAAAAAGGTCTGTTTTCAACTTGCTTCAAATTGACCAAATTTCTTTTTCAAAATCATTTACATCTTTTCAGAAGTTCAAATTTGACTTTACAAGTTCTCAGAAATTCAAATCTGACTTAAGTTTGAACTCATAATATTGTGAGCAACTAGGTGGTGACATTTTGTCATGTTAATGCCTTGTTTTGAAAATTATAGTCCTCTCTATATGCAATACTGCTGTATCTCTTGCAGGATATGTTTTCATAACAAAACTGCATTAATGTGTTGTTTATGTGTCTGAAGTGTTGTGTGTATTTCTTGTAGTATTGAAAGTCCAGGGGTGTCTAAAGAAAGCACTCAGTCTGGTGGGGGTCCTTTAAAGTAAGTAATTGCATGGAATCTATTTTCAGCAACTCTGCTTCTTGCCTCAGTTTCTTATTACAGTAAAACCTGTCTAAGTGGAACACATTTGGAACCTCTAAAATATGTTCCAATTGGGAGGTGTTCCTCATACAGAGGGCCATTTAACATCAAGTCAGTTGGTCTTGGGACTCTGAAAAGTGTTCTTTATTTACCACATTGAACAAATTGTGCATTAACACCCCAGTCACATTTCCTACGACAACCTTGCGGTCTATCATTTCTGCGGCCAGTAACATTTCTACGCTCGCCGTGGAATTTCTGCACTCTCATACTTTTGCAGTCACATTTCCCACGGCAGCCGCACGGTGAATTTTAAATTTCTGTTGATAAATAATACTTTTTTCATTTTATCTATATCGGGACAATTTATAAATGTTATTCATAGTGCTAGGATGTAATATCAAATGAAAAGTGATCGTGAAACATTGACAAATAATGATTCAATCTTGTTGAGCCAGTTGATTTCCACGGGGACCTCAGAAATGAACAAATATTATAACTCTGAGTTATAATTTCTACGGCGACCCTGCGGCCTGTAAAAAACTTGATACGCCATACGGAGGCCGCAAGGCGAAATACACTGATTTAATCGATCTGCGGTCGACGCACGGCCTCCGTACGACAAATGTGACTGGGGTGTTAGATAGAAATGGCAAAAAGTAATGGGAAAAATGGGAAAATACCCTGTTATTCATGAGATTGAACATTTTGATTTGCTAACTACAAATGAATGATTCAAACATGTAAGACAAACCTCACCTATGCCATGAATTGTCAAAAGAGAATTTTGCACATACTTTAAAAACCTGCAGATAACACTGAAGATTATGTAGAAATTAACTTTAACTGAATGTATATTCATCATGTTGTTTCAGGCTTGGTGGAAAGCCCAAGAAGTCATCTATGAAGGCACCTGTAGAGCTGGGACTGATTCATAAAGCTTTGTTCAAAACACAGCTGAAAGATGACCCTCCTTCCAAACCTACTTCATTTACTGTGAAACTCACTGTGTGACAGACAGACCAGGATATATAGGTTTAATACAAGGAAGACATGATCCAGTGTTGATGGCGTGAACACTGTCGCATATATTTTGCTGTAAATTCTGTTCATAATTCAGTCTGTTAAGTGGATTGGTGAAAAGAGTGAATACAAAAGTATTGTACATGTATTTAGGGAACCCTTTTTGCATGAAAAGTTCTCCCTTTTAAAGCGTCTTATTAAAAAGTTGGCTGGTGTAGCACATCAAAATGAATTATGTGTAGAATTTATTGCAAAGCTTTGAGATGACCCCAGTATTGATAAGGACATTGTGTTAGTTATGTGACTTTGAGAGATGATCTCTTACTGCTGAAAAGAGCATGGTACAAGCAGAATGTGACTTTGAGATGACCTCTTAGTGGTGAGGTGGACATAGTGCAAGAAGAGATTATGTGATTGAGATAGAGGGATTGCCTGTACAACATGGTATTCAAAATCACCCTAATCAGGGATGGATTATACAAAAGTGCACATATGAAATGGAGAAATCCCTAGTAGCTGGGATTTATTGAAGGAAAGACTGAGATTTTCTGATTTATGGCGCAAAATAGGACTGCAAATTTTATTCTCTTCATTGTTAAAGGACTAGAATTGCATAGATTGAGGTCTTTGGCCAGGCCAGAACAAAATCTGAGGTAATATACATGTATTTGCCATAAATCATAAGAGTCTTGGTCTTTGTTACAATTCTAATGTGATAAACAAACCAGACGAACGACTATTTGCATTGATTTACAGTGGTCAAACATACTCAATTATAGACCAGTAAATCAATCGTTCTAGTTATTGTGACATCACATATTATATAAGAATCAACTTTTAAACGGCAGATTAATATCATCCATGGATGTTATAGGCCCACAATCATCAAGAGCCATTCAAAAACTAAATTGTCCCCAGGTACAAGGCATTTCTACTTGGTCTACAAGAGTTGTGTTTTATGTAAGTTTTAGCATTAATCTTACATAAATCAGGATCGAACTTTCAAATCAGTTGAAACAATCCTAGCTTGGAGCAAAAAGAATATGTCACAGAGAAATGCCTATAGGAACAAACTTTATTCATCAATTCAATTGCAAAGTAATTCTATTACAAGGAATAGGCTTAAATGTGTACAAATGTATATCTGTACAAATGACATTAAAATCTAAGTTTCTCAATTTAGTTTCTTGTTATGTAATATAAATATATAAAATGGATTATTGTCCTGAGATTGTCTGGATTTTTGAGTTCATGTACTGTAAATTAGAAAATGGCATGCAAGAAAAAGATTTCTATAAGACATGGATCTGTTTGCTTTATTTTCCACACCCTTTATAATATAAAAAAATTGTTACTTATTAACAGTAAAAACTAGATTTCATGATAAACACAACATATTTTCTTTACAAAAGGTCATTTATTGCATTATATAGATTCTAATAATAAACATATTTGTACAAAATTATAGGTCAGTCAATCATTTCTCCAATGGTAAAATAACAAGAATTCAGATGTCTCTATAGTATGTCTCCTTTATTTAAATACTATTTATTTTAATACTTCGGGATATGACGGGTTACACTTCAATTGCAATATACACAAAATTTCGGCTGAATTGAAGAATATTAAAGAAAGTTAGAGCATATAGTGCATTACTTCTGGGACAACCCTCGTACTGTATGCAGTACTAGTATACAAATTATAAACGAGATATAAAAATTCACTCATCTTGCTCCATACTTATTGATAAAAATCAACAAGAGGATAATTAATTCAACAAGTGGATAATTATTTCAACAATAATTCTGAATGTTTGGCAATCTATTTTACATTATGACTACATCGTATCATCCCATTCTATCAGAGAGTATGCAGACTTTGAAGGATGAAAACCATTACAAACCTTTTTGTGCAGAAGAAATAGTTTAACTGATGTTCCACATGTGTTCATTATTAATTTATAGTCTTTAAAAGTGTATTATTAAACAGCAATTAAATGGACAAATAAGTATTTGTACTTTTGAGTATTGTTTTACCTTACCTTGAAAGAAAGTTCTGCAAATTCCCCAAACAGACCATTAAACTCATTGAAGAGTTAGAAAATTATTAATTTATCATTTGAATGTACTTATTTCATTAACAGATTAACACATACACGTAATATACACATGTAAAGCATTGGAAGACAAAACTAAAAAACTGAAAAAATATCTACTACTCCAAATAATGAACAGCCTAGCTTACATCATAAAAAATATAAATGGGCTTTGTACATAATCAGGACCTCCTGTTAAAATTTAATTAAGAATCGGTTTTCCAATATATGCTATAAAAGCAGCAGGTGGTTTTGACACACCCTGTACATAACTCTACTAGCTACTTATAATACAGCTGCTACAAATCCATAACAAATATAAGCACAGTTACTGTCGCTGATTCCTAATCCCATCCAACCAGATCATTTCTTACAACTTGTATGCCCTTTCGTCATTTTTGAAGAAAGGTGAACAAGGTTCATTGCTTTCACATGATATGTGAATTAAATGGATATCAGTTATAAAATCTATCCATTACAAAAGTCAACATTCATATAATTAATTTGTGTTCTCGGGTTTTTCTGGTTTTCAGTCTATTGCACATGAGAAGTTACCATTTCCTGCAAACAAATGTGACAGTCAGACAGTAAGCATATTAAACCTAACTAGAATTATTAAAGATAACTTATGTTGATAATTCAGCCTAATTCAGTAAATCATGTCACAGGCTATTTGAATAGGACGTCATTGTTACAGTTTTTCACACAAAGACGGGAGAAAAACCTGTGGTATCATGAATCTAGACAATAAACACCACTTTCTTTGGTTTGGTAAAATAAGCCAGAATTTGCTGAAAATGTGCATTTATATTTATTTGAACTGTGTGCGTTTTCATGGTTTTTGAACACATCTTTCGAGGGTTACTGGTAACGCATAATGCATTTTACTATTTTAACCAAACCTACTCCAAATACAAATATCATGCATTCATATTGAAATCTAGAAAATACTATGCTACAACACTCAGTTGGCTATAAAAGGGAATGGTACATAATGGATAAAACCGAGGACTTGTTTATAATTCCTGTAAATCTCATCAGCCTTACAAATTGTTTATAATAACAATTGCCATTCATCAAACTGAATTTCATAATTGACCTTTTTTGAAGTGTTTTGTTGTTTAAATTGTAAAATTGTTAAGAATCATAACAGCCCATAATTTATACCACTTATATGCTGAAACGAGCATATAATTTTTAATAGGTGATTAGTAAATTATGCGAGTATTTTTTAATCTGTAATTAAAGTGTGAAGAAGATTTGTATCCAAGGCTACGGTGCTGGTTATAGGTAGTTCTGATTCTTAGTTTTGGTGTATTTCAGGATTAGAGAGACTGTGCCACTTTAATATGCATGTAGTGACTGTGTAGGTATTTTTCCTTTCATCTAATGCTTGTATTTCTTTCTGTCATAGCGAACATTCAACCTTTCAACTTATACATCTTCTATACTGTGGTTTCCTTTTTAGGTGACTCTCTTTCAGATGTTGGGGTAGCAGCGGGGGTGCTATCCTGGTCAGATGATCCAGAGTCCTCGGGGATCCTTACCCCCATAGACCCTAGGATGTTACCCCCGGGGCCTGGAAGTCCTTGTTGTGACTTATAAGACTCCATCATGTTCTTTACAACAGTCAAATCTACATTTACTGGTTCAAAGTCATCATCTAGATCATCAATGTCAAATTCATCACTCTCTGGTCTCGCTCTAGCAGGAACTTTAGCCTGAAATTATCATAGGAAAAATTACTACATGAAATACCCTCCCCCCAGCCCTAAACTTTCAATTTTCAATTTATTCCTCAATAACGTAATTATTCAAAGTAAATATAACAGGGTTAACAGGTGACATAATTTCTGATGTTTATGCCAGTACTAAATGTGATTTAAGAAGGATATACAACTTGAGTAGGATGAAATGCATTCTACCTTCTTATGTCTTGGTGGTGCTACTGGTTTACTTTCCCGCTCAAATGACTTCCAAACATTAGTCTGTGCCAATTCCCTGTCCATGGCATCCATGTAGCCCTTCATACTCTGGCCATTTTGTTTTGGAGGGGGTTTCCGAGGTGATGGACCAAGTTCATCCAGCTCATCATCGGAGCCATATTCACTCATGTCATCAGAACTACTGTCACCCATGTTATCATCAAGATCTTGAAAGAGAGATTGGTGATTAAAGCCTCAGTCACATTTGCTCTATGGTGGCCGTTTGTCAGCCCAGGTTCACAAAATATAGAAATCTACACTGTACTGCTTATCCATATATTTTATGCTACATCTCAATTTTTGGAACCTACAGTCACTATATGGTTGCCATAGATCAAATGTGACTGAGGCATTAGATTATAATGTTCATTGACCTTTTAAATACAGAGATCAATGAATATACCACTTACAGTATTTCTCACTAAATGGCTCTTACTTTGACACATTGCTTGTTCAATTCATACAAACTGTATTACACTATGTTCTCTATTTTCAACACATTCACAATTGAGACCGAAAATAATCGAAACTAAATTTGTTCTCAAATTTTCATAAAAATTTCTGAAGATTTTACTTTAAAACTCTTAATACAGAAGGTTAAATATTTGGTTTCTAGATCCTGCTTTGCATGCTTACCTACAAGTTTCTGCATGTCTTGCATGAATGAGCTTGAGTTAAACTGTATATCTCCTTCCTCTTGACTGAAATAACAATAGAATAAAAACTTAGATATACATTTTTAGATAACCTAATGGATTGATTGAGAAATTTTGAAGTAATCCCTTAGCATATTCCCAGGTATGCTATCTCAGGCTATTTTATTGATTTGATTTGGATTAAAATCTGCAGGTATGTATGTTTTCACATGTAATGCCAGTAAGGTTTTGAAGTCTACAGTACAGTGCAGTGCAGTGCAGTACAGTACAGTACATGGCTGTCAACTCACCCAGGGAATTCAGCTCCCTCAAAGCCAGAAACATTATTTACAAAGGACTTCATACTGTTGGCAATGTCAGTGAGATCAAACGTGTCATCTGTAGTGTTCTGACCTGTTGTCTTATGTATCAGGTCATCTAGCTGTTGTGGGGTAATATCTAACCAACTGTCATCTGAAATAGTGAAGGTAATCTTACATTTAAAACTCGAACATGTATAATGTAAGGTAGTTTCATTAATTTTTCATCACATTGACTTTCATTCATTCTTTTTCAAATTTTGTTTTATTAACCATTTTTGGGCTTTGTATCTAAAACAATGACATACTTTTTATAGCCAAAATAGGAAATCAGGGGTCTCACTAAGGTCTAAGATTATGGAGCAACACTACAGGCCATTCAGACACAATCGATTGACCAGCTATAATTTGTACCAAAATCTGAATTTGACTAAATACACAATAACATCATGTTCAGAAAAACAAAATAAAATATAAATACTCTGCTCTCTATTTATTGTAACTGAACCCTTATACTAGAGGTGTCAAGTATTAACCGGTTAACCGGTTAACCGCCGATAATGCCTTGACCGGTCTGTGTTTTTATGGGCGGTTAGTTGACCGTGTATAATTCTGTGATTTCCCGCGCTTATTTTGCATGCTAATCCGTTTTGTTTTATGGTGTCAGTTTCACGTAAGCTACTCATACATGTCATAAGTCCCATAACTCCTTACAAACATCCAATCAGTAACTTTAATCCCTGCCACATTGCTTTCCCGCGCTTACTTTGCATTTTAATCTGTTTGTTTTTCAAGCGTCAGTTTCATGTGAGCTACTCATACATGTGATAGGTCCGATAATTCCTAACAAACATCCAATTAGCAACTTTAATCCCTGCCACATTGCTTTCCCGCGCTTACTTACATAGAATAGAGTAAAGCTTGACGAACGTAAAAAATAAACGCCGATATATCATTTTTCCAATTTTTTTCAACTTTCAAGGTCGAAGATGAAGATTTCATTTGAAATTATCAGTTCAAATTTCCCGCCGGTTAACCGACTTTAACCGGTAAAAACCCCCGGTTAACCAGTTAATGCTCAAGCGGTTAATTGACACCACTACCTTATACTGAAAATTTTCACCAGCCTAAATATTTCTTTCCAGGGCCATGGGAATTGTTTACTCAAATCTAATAAAATGTTGTACCCAATATTAATTTCTCATAGATGGCAACACTATCAAACATGCACATATTGCTGCCTAACAGCACAACACATATAGAACTTTTTCGATGTGCGATAAAATTATTGTGCTTAAACCAGACTACCTTAGTTACCATGACTACTTACTGTCTGGTTTCTTTAAATTCTTTTCCTGTTTTCGTAGATCCTCAATGTCATACTTGAGTGAATCCAACAATGTGAGCACCTGGTGGCCTGCATCTTTACTATTGCTGGAAATGTTCAGATAACAGTGTAAATCCATGAGGTTCATCAGTTGGTTATCAAGATTTGAAGATTTTGTTTTTAACGCTTTTTTAACACTTATGAGAATTTAAGCTTGCATTGTTTTTCAGAATGTAAACATGAACAGAAAATACATGAATCAATATAGGAATATGTAGTGTGTACCTTCTTTTGTACTCCCAATGGCGTATTACATGCTTTGGTGTAGTCTAAGAATAAACACTGAAGCTGAATGGTTAATTAAGCGAGAAAACTATGTGCAATGCAAATGGGCGATTGAACGTTATACGTCTTCGTTTTGATTTAATATGCAAGCTTAAACTCTCTATTGTTCAGTATCTTTATAGCATATTGTATAGTTCGTCACATGGGGAATTTAGGTCATCAGCTTAAATAGAGGCTGCATTAAGGAAAATGTCACATTATTCTATTCAAACTTTCAACGAAAATTATGATTATACAAGTAAGTCATTATTTTCGTAAGTGAGTTATATCTCATAAGTGATTATTTTCTTGAAATTTCCCAAACAAAATCTCTTAACTTTTATAAGGTATACAGTACAAGTGTGTATAAGAGGATAAGGGGCTCACCTTTCCTGTGTTGCTACAGCCTCTGAGAAATGTTTCTTGGCACTCTGCTCTAACTGTCTGTATAACTGTGACCCCTCTACCTCACCCTGGAAAACATGTAATGTACGATCAATATAATGCAACACATTCAATATGTGTAAGAACATTCAATATGTGCATGAACATTCAATATGTGGACAGTACATCCAATATGTTTACAGCAAATTCAAGGCATTAATATACAAAATGTCACTACCTGCCATTTGCCACAAATGCCATTTGTTACAGGTGCCAATCACACAACATCAACTGCTGTATGCCAAACAGCATCCACACAAAAGTGAAAGACTATAATAATATGACAACACTTGTGACCGACATCTACTTAAATATGGTATGTATATTTGTGTCGGTTATCAAATTACAAAATAGGTAGGGTGAAGAATATGTCAAGGTCATTTGATCTCGTCAAAAAACTACATGTTCAGATACAGGACACTCTAGAGTTTAGATCCCTAATTCAGTTCCACTTAAAATACAAAACATAAGCATTTGACTGAAATTGTATCTTAACAGAAAGGCAATTGAGAGATAAAATCAGTTCCATACCATGTGAACTATGTTTCTAGGGATAACAAGAGTTTTGAGCTTAACAAGAAAGTCAGCCCTAATATATAAGTTTCAAGTTCTAGGACAAACCAGAGTATCAGGGTAAACAAGAGTTAAAGGGTAAACAAGAGTTAAAGGGCAAACAATAGTTTGTGGACAAACAAAAACATTGTCAAACTAAACAGGAATATATGGTGATATTTATAAGAGAGAGAGCAAAACATTACAAGGGTAAAATGCAGGATGAGATGTTAAAAATAATAGACTTGATGCAAATAGAAATAATCTTGATTCGTATCATTAAATATTCAGAATTCAGTCAAACTGATTTCATATTTGGAATCTTCATGTAAAATGACATCTAAGAATGTAGTTTTGAAAAGAGTTCATCAACTTTCAGAATTAATTTTCTTTGAAAATGTGACTTCTAGGTTGGGGAGATTCCCCATAGACCACATGTTGTAAAATCACAAAAAGTGAAATATCTTTTCTTGTGTTGGGCAGAGATAATATTTTCTTTTATGGAACATATTTTAATTTGTATAACTATCAGATACATAAGAGTAATATGAAACGTGAACCACTAAAACTGATGAATATTCAAGTTTAAGGGAACTTTGCAATACCCTGCCATGTTATTTCCCCCCAATAAGCCACCTGGTGGAAGAACTGGTGACTACCTAGTCACATCTGAGTATTAAAACATTGTAATACTGTAAGTAAATAAACTAGCAAAATATTAATCCAACTGACAAATTAACAGTTTGTATTTAGGGAAGCCAATTATTCAAATTATTGACAATAATTTCATTTATGGCAATGTGAGAGTCGGTTAAGGTTTAGGTATGAACAAGCCCTAAGAAGACCATTCCCCGGTTATCCCAGGTAAATGTTTCTGGTAAGTTACACTGAACGAAACATCAAGCTTCAGATCTCGAGAGTACGAGATGAGACTTCAGACGAGATATCGATAGGATTGTAGTTGGAGGGTTTTCTCCCTAGGTGCGTACAAAATCCATTAACATCAATGTAAGTTATACATTTCGATTCTTTTTATCGACATTTATCTCTTGTTTATACATTTATCTATCGCTGAATCGTTTTGTGAAAGTTTTATCGTAATATTTCACACAAAAAACGCCAGTTTAAAAATGTTCAAAAAAATTTCAAACACGTTTTATCTTTTGTCTTTATGACTTTGTAGTTTTATGTTTGAAGTATTCAATTGATATCTCGTACATATGGTTTAAAACTTGAATTTATACATAAGAATTAATTTATTGATTAATATGGACACGTCACATATTACTCGAGTCTCTACCTTACAGCTAGATGTAACTTCATTTATTTCGTATGTACTCGTATTTCGTATGAAAAAATTGCTACACGCACCTAGAAATTATTTTTGATAAATTTTATAAATATTTAAGAATATTAATTATATTTAGGATGAAGCGTTGCCTGTCTGGATTTAGATATTTCAAAATTTCTTTTCGAAGTTTGACACATGGTTAAATTTTCTCGCTGTAGCTAAAAGTGGCTTCCGGTTCCAGACGTCAATAATGTAGGAAACTTTGAAATTATTCTCGCTTAAGAAATCAATTATTACAATAGATTCAGACGGAGATGTGTGCTGATGTTTCTCAAATCTATACTTAAAGGTATATTTCATATTATTATGCCGTATTTCCTGTGCGTGTGACACATTGATTTACAATATTTACAACACCAAGGCAGCTAATCTTTCTACTCAAAGCCGGAATATAGAGAAGGTTTGGACCTCTGTAAGTCACATACATGTCCTCAAGTTACGTTCAATAGACTCCATCCAATCTAATAATAGATATTTCATTTATTTACAAGTGTAAGTAACCTTGTAGGCTATTAATTAAATATATCTATTCTATTTATTATCCCATTCCAGAGATTTCTGGTTGTTATTGGGATTATTCATAGTACCATTAGGTACAGATATCATTTTATTACTTGATATATATTTATCTCTTGAGAGAGCTATAATTATTCCTTTTCTTCTATATTTCTGACACCTTATTGCACATAATAAACTTTACTCTGAGGATAAGACAGGAGTCAATAATATCCTTACCTTTCTTCTCCCATTATACAAGACAATTAGAGATGCCTAATGTTATTAGGGTCAGCATTATAGGCCAAAGTTTTGTTCGAAAAATAGAAGAATCTAACCAATTTGACTTTAAATTAAAGGAAGACATAGTTAACTATAATACCACCATTGTATATACAATTAAACAATTTCAAGATGATGTAAAATATAAAAATCCCTATCCAGATATGGCTATATTACAGCTAGGAAAAAATGATCTGGTTCATAGATCATCTACCTTTGTTCCAAAATTCTCATCACTTTGGCTGAACAATATTTAGATATACATCCTTCATTAAAAGCCTTTTACATTGGAGAACTATTTCAACGCTCATGGGATCCTTTCAAATCCTCGATCAATACTGCTTCAGAATGCATTCAATATAATTCAATATTTTATCTACCAATTTCAAATTGTTAAATGATATTCATCATCATAAGGGCAATAGACTTTTGTTCCTACATCACCCACATACCACCCAATATACAATCAATGGTCAATTTTGATATATGACTCCTACGATCCCATACATCTCAATGAAAAGGGGAAAAGCGTTTCGTCAAGTCCTGGAAAGGCGCAGTCCTGAGATTTCTTGATTACATTTATTAGGTAATAATAATTAGACTTAACATTAGAAGAGACGGCTACTCTTCTCTAACCAAACATAAGCCAGAGAGTCGTTAACCATTCACAATAGTTTATTCACTTAGTTATCCTTCATAAGTACTATACTTATATTAGGAAATTTAGTTTCCTATTTACTTATATTTTATCATATTTATATTATGATAAATATATATTATTTTGTATATCATCTGCATTTATTCATGCAGTGTATACTATACCTTTAGACATGATATGTTATCATATTTATATTATGATAAATTCATATTATTTTATATTTCATATGCATTTATTCATGCATTGTATACTTTACCTTTATTCTTAAAGGTTATCATATTTATATTATGATAATTCATATTATTTTATATATCATATGCATTTATTCATGCATTGTATACTTTACCTTTATTCTTAAAGGTTATCATATTTATATTATGATAATTTATTTTTATATATCATATGCATTTATTTATGCAGTGTATTCTAAATCATATTTATTATGATTAGCCTTATGGGCATTTATTATGATTAGCCTTATGGGCATCATATTTATATTATGATAATTCATAATCTTTATATATCATATGCATTTATTTATGCAGTGTATTCTAAATCATATTTATTATGATTAGCCTTATGGGCATCATATTTATATTATTATAATTCATAATCTTTATATATCATATGCATTTATTTATGCAGTGTATTCTAAATCATATTTATTATGATTAGCCTTATGGGCATCATATTTATATACATCTAACATGGAGCATGTGCTTCTATTTATATTTATCTAAATGTTTTTATGTCTTGAAGTTGCTTACCCTCTATATAACTACTAATTATTTCACTGCAAATGTCTGAAACTGAAGGACCTAACCCAAGTATTACTATAGAAGAGTATCACACTTCTAATACCCTGACTGCAGCCAAGTCTATGCCCACTTTAATAAGAGGCAACTTTACAACAATTTTTCCCTTATCCCCTTTCCCTTCTTATTCCACTACATCTTCCATTCCAACCCAACATTTCATTCTCTCTAAATAGACCCACAGCATCTATTACTCGCCCTATTCCATCTTTTGCATCAAGCGCTAATATCCAACCCTACCCTTTCATCCCTCCAGTCTCTACTAACCTTTCATCTTTTCATAATTCCCAACCCGTCTCTACAGCTTATGGATTAATTCCCAACACAAATGCCATGCTACAAGGACAGGTGTCAGTAGCTTCAATGAATCCAATTCCCAGTTTTCAACATATTACATTACATTAATTTGTCCATATTTCAGATTTTGCGGATTTACTTTAATTCATTTCTATGATGTTCTTATATTTTGGTATTCATGTATTGATTCATGATTGTATTGAAGAAGACAAAAACAATGATTATGTCCTCTGTGAGATGTAATCTGACAATTCTTTTGAATCAAGACATTTGAATTTAAACCCTTCATAGAAGGGAAAATCCTTTCATTTCCAGAATGGGTCCGAGCATTCAGTATATTTATTGCTGTCTATACCCAAAGATTTCATGATCAAACCCCTCACCTCTTGAAATATATATCCCCTTGTCCCTTTAACCACACCTGCCCAACTTGCAAAATGTTACTCCCGCAACAACTGCAGGCAAGCCCAATTCCCCAACAAAAAGCGCTCAGGTACTGGAGACTCCAAAAAACCCTTCGAGTGAACTTATGTCAACACAAGTTGTTACTCCAGTTAAACCTGAAAGACTCAGATATTG